AAAAAGTCGACGAAAATAATTGTTTTTCGATTCCAGGATTTTGGGTTTGAGGCGCTGCTGCGCCCTTGCATGGGCTCCGTTCGGTCTAATATTTGGCACAGAGTCTACCTAAGACTAGTACTTTGAAAATATGAAACATTTAGCAAAATCCAGGTGGGGCCGGAAAAGGCCCAAAACGTTACTCCTCCTTTACATTAACCGCAATATAAGGGAGGAATTTTAAGAAAAGGTGAATAATCAGTGTGAAACGGGATAAACATTTATAAAACAGGATGGATAGGGATAAAACAGGATGGAAAGTGAACAAATAGGATAGAAAAGGATAAAATAGGATAGAGACGGATAAAACTGAATACATCCCACCCTTTAATTTATTGATCTTTTTTTTATCTACCTCCGATGTATCGTTTGAAATGATAAAGCAGGATTGACAGGGATAATACGGGATTTATTGAAATTAACCGGGATAAAAGGTAAGAAATCGCTCTTTGTATATCGATCTTCGATGTATCGTTCGATGTAAAGCAGGATTAACAGGGATAAAACGGGATTTATTGATATTAACTGGGATGAAAGGGAGGAATTTTACCTAAACAGGATAATCATGGATAAAACGGGATGTACCTATATTCATTAACCGTGATAAAAGGAAGGATATCGGTCTTTGTATATCGATTTTCGATACATCGTTTGCTATGAAGCAGGATTAATAGGGATAAAAGGGAATTTATTGATAACCGGGATTTATTGATAACCGGAATTTATTGATACTGGGATAAAAGGGAGGAATTTTATCTATACAGGAAAGTCGTGGATAAAACGGGATGTATCTATATTCATTAACCGGGATGAAAGGAAGTATATCGCTCTTCGTACATCAATATTCGATGTATCGTTTGATTTAAAACAGGATTGACAGGGATAAAACGGAATTTATGGAGATTAGCCGGAATAAGAGGGAGGAATTTTACCTTTACAGGATAGTCATGGATACAACGGGATGTACGTATATTTATTAACCGGGATGAAAGGAAGGATATCGTTCTTTGTAATTCAATCTTCGATATATCGTTTGATTTAAAACAGGTTTGACTAGGATAAAACAGGAATTACTGATACCTATTAACCAGGATGAAAGGAAGGATATCGTTCTTTGTATTTCAATCTTCGATGTATCGTTTGATTTAAAACAGGTTTGACTAGGATAAAAAAGGATTTATTGATACCTATTAACCAGGATGAAAGGGAGGAATTTTACCTATACAGGATAGTCAAGAGGATAGATAGGGATAAAATATGGTATTCTTTCTAGATCTTCGATATATCATTCGATATGAAGCAGGATAGACAAGGGTAAAACTGGATGTATTGATAATTAACAGGGACGAAATATAGGAATTTTAAGAAAAAGGCAATAATTAGTAGGAAACGGTATGGATAAGGATTAAATTGGATAGATACGGACAGAATAGGGTACTGCTCATCAATCTTCGATATACAGTTTGATATAAAACGGGATGGACAGGGGTAAAATGGGATGCATTGATATTAACTGGGGTAAATGGTGGAATTTTGAGAAAAGTTGAATAATCTTCTCAGCAACCAAGGAGCCCAACCCCTCTGGACTGCCTCATGTGGCACTCAAGGAACCAAACCACCTGAGGGCTGAAGAACTTCCCACAAACACATCAAACACAACAAACTCATCAAACAGACTACACACATCAAATACCAAACACACCAACCACATCAAACTCATTATACACAAAAAACACATGAAACACATGGAACGCTCAAAACACATCAAGCAAATCAAACACATGGAACACACTTAACACATCAAGCAAATCAAATACAAAAAACACATCGAACACACCGAACACATCAAACAGGCCAAACGTGTGAAACACATTAAACATATCAAACACATCAAATAACAAACGCACCAAACACATCTAACACAACAAACATATCGAACACATGAAACACATTAAACACATCAAACACAACAAACATACCAAACACATCTAACACAACTAACATATCGAACACATCAAACACAATACCAAACACATCTAACAAAACAAACATATCAAACACTTCAAACACAAGCAACACATCAAACACAACAAACATACCAAACACATCTAACAAAAGAAACTATCAAACTTTCCAGACACAAGCAACTCATCAAACATATTAAACCTATCGAACACACCATACCCATCCAACAGAACAGAGCCATGGAACACACCCAACAAATCAAACACACTAAACACATCAAACACACCAATCAAATCAAACACACTAAACATATCAAACACACCATACAAATCAGCACACGAAATACATCAAACACACCGCGGCCCCTTGGGCGCCAGGAAGGGCAGTCCCGAAGGGTTGGGCTCCTTGCTTGCCAGGAAGATTATTCTCCTTTTCTCAAAATTCCTCCATTTGACCTGGTTAATATCAATACATCCAGTTTTATCCCAGGCAATCCTGCTTTGCATCGAACGACATCGAAGATCAATGAGCAACCTTTACCATAGTTTGATAGATGCAATAGGATTGATAGGGATAAAACTGCATTCATCCCGTTTAATCTAAGTTCATCCCAATTCAGTTAGATTCATCCTTACAGTAACAATGAATTTGATTTTAAATTGATTAAATTTCAAATAAATTAAATTTGTATGTCTTGTCCATGTTGTATGTCTCATGAACATAACAAATATGCACCTACTGTCTCAAATTAAATCAATCAAAAATATACCTACATCACTAAATTTGGGAAATTATACAATTACTAAAGGTAATTTTTTAGTTAAAGTGATATTGAACGATTTGAATGGATGAGCATCCAAAAGAACATTAGTAGTTTTAATGAAAATTACAGCAATAATGTATAAAAAAATTAAGTGATGTTCTCATCATAAACTGACAGAATCCACAAGAGGGTTGGGCCGCAGAGCCTTCTAGTCTGTTAAAGTAAGCTTTCATTTAAACCTTGGTTTGATCGTCGAATCGAATACCCAAAAAGGGGCCAAATTTTGGGAAGCTCTTTGAATTCTGGCAGTTTTTTCAGTGCGCTCTTGCGGCTTAAATTTCATTCGTATCAAAAGATTGATAAGAACTCATCCTCTTCAAAATTGTATGTGCTTTAGTTTTGTATAAAACTACTTTGATCAAAACATCACAACTAAATGAGATATTTTAAAAAAACGGGATTTTCGGCCATTTTTTGAAAATGACGGCGGACATATCTTAACCTAAATGTAAAATTTGGAGTCAACGTCAAATCAATAATAGAAATACTTCATCAAAACGTTTTCCGGCAGAGTTTCCCTGAGAACTTCCCTATTGCCTGGACTGAATGTACCGGGAGTTTGTTCGTGAACTGCACACTGCATACATAGGTATGCGTGTGGTCCTAGCGTTTCCGTTGGGCGCGTAGATCGATAGACATGAATTGTAAAAGACACGAGGATGGGTCAAAAAGCGGGATTTGCGGAATTGCGGCTGTAACCTAGATCGGCTTGTTCACAATATTTTTTTTTTTTTTTTTTTTCTTAAAGAAAGTCTCACTTTTCATTTCCAAATTTCACCAATCCGAAACTTAAGAAGCTGTTAAAATATCGATGATGTAAAAAATTAGGACTTTCCTAGTTGACATTCATCTTTTTGATCTGATTCAAATGAAAATATAAATATTCCTGAGTGATTGATACTGACTAAGCTGATTTAAGCAACAGCACAGTTTAATCAAGACCTATTTGTGCCAAGTTGATGCCTCGGAAGACTGAGAGAAGTTAGTTTATTTACCATAAACATATCATTATCAAAAGCCCGCTATTTCAATCACAAATTTTAAACTATAATTATGAATGTATCTGTCTCCAGCTTAAAGGGCAACTTTAGCGACAGCTTCTATTACACTGGTCAGGAGGCTGATGGATTTTTCCTGCCCTCTGGAAATTACTATTATTACCCCACAAACTTCCCAGTTCGAGAGTATCAAAAAACCATTATCGAAACAGCACTTTTCAACAACACTTTGGTTGTCCTCCCCACAGGTATTCTGTCTTTAATACGGGATTGCGGGAATATTACCTTTAATTGGGTCATTTGTTAAATTCATATTCTGAAAACACGGATTGAACTCAGCGCCTAGAAATTTTTTCAGATTTTCTTAATCCGTGAATGGCAAAGAAATTCCTTTTTGAAAAAGTCATAAATGAGACCCGTTTGACAACATATTTTTGGTGGGGGCTGATGTTGCCAGGCAAAGGGAACGGCGTTTGCTGATTCGCTAGTTCACAAAATACATTTGAAACATGCTACAACCCTCCAGAAATGCCTTGCCACTGACCCATTGTGGGTACACATGTTCGGAGTGAACAATTGTTCATTGGTCAGTTTCATCATTGAGCAATAGACTCTTATCCACAAAGGAAAGAAAACCAAGTGAAGAAAATGCCTCTTAAGATGAATTCGGAGTACCTACATTGCTGACAGAAAAATTTTAAAAAGTTAAGAAGGAATTCTGGTCACATTGAATGTGTATCACAAGGCCCTTAAACAACGAGTAATGAACGATTCACTTTAAATATACTGATTTTCTTTTCCTTTTTTATTTCGCATTTGTTACTCAAAGATTTCAATATTCTTTTTACTGTTGATGCAGGTTTGGGGAAAACATTCATAGCTGCAGTGGTGATGTACAACTTCTATCGATGGTACCCCCGTGGTCTTGTAATATTTATGGCCCCCACCAGACCTTTGGTTACGCAACAAATTAATGCTTGCACAAACATCATGGGAATCCCACCTTCTGATATCACTGAAATCACTGGTAAACCTTCTCATCATTTTCATGTGTTCTTTCATTTAGTGGCTACGTCGCTTGTCCTCTTCTCAAATATTATTATTGAAATGCATTTTTCAAGGACTTTCTAACAGACTAATCTAAACAACCAAATATGTCTCAATGCATTTGCAAACTTTTGGCACTTAGTCTGATGAAGTGTCAGCATGAAAGCATTGAACCTCATGAGAGAAAAGGAAGGATAGATGAGGTTCAGAGAAAAATAGGAAAACCCTCCATGAAAGAATATTGATAAAAGATTAATAATATAACTTTTTTTATCCAAAATAAACAAATCAAAAAAAAAATTAAAAAAAATTAATTGAAAAATTATTATCAGCCAAAATAATTCCTATCTTAGAGTTAGTTTCGGGAAAAAAAAAAAAAAAAAAAAAAAAAAGTCAATCCCAGACAAGAATCGCTACTCCTCTCTGTCCCACCATCAACCAAATGAATTACACAATCGATCTCAATGGAATCAGCATCATCTGTAACACCATAAATCTTTCAGATCCTTAGGGTAGCTCAGTGTTAAACAGTATTCTATGATTTAATTCTTTTGGTCAAAATATGACAATATTATATTGTAATTTTTTTTCTAAAAACCCCTCCCCTCGGAACTACAGCCGTCAAAACTAATGAATTTCAGATCTCTGAAGAATGACTTAATGTATCGCCAACCATACCTACAAGTTTGCCTTTTTTTAACCTTTAAATGACAAACTGGGTCTACGAAGCCCGGCGGCTTCTTATTTTTCGCGCCGTGGCAGCTGCAATTCTCGGAGAAGTCTGTCCTTCCCAAATAGCTCTATAAAAACCCTTTAAAACATATTTCTCGAAATAAATAAATTTTTGAAATTTTTTTTTAAGGCAAAACAATTTTTTTTCATGTCTACCTCTAGAATGACTAACCCGGGTCTACGAGGCCCGTATTGAGAAAATATGGTTATTTGATAGCTTTGATGATTTTTTCTCTGTTCTTTGAAGAATTTTATGATTTTCATACCTCAACTTCTGGGTCATTCCTTGTCAATTCAACAAAGAATATTTTCGACTATTTTTGATCTTCAAGAAATTTCGCCTTCTTGATAACCTTGCTTAAAAACTGCCAAGAACACATTTTTAGGCCCCTATGTCAACAGGGAACGGAGACACAGGGTGGTCAAATTTCACAAAAAATTTGGAATTTTCAGACTTCCCCAACTTTAAAATTCGAGAACTTCGGTTCTATTGCAGCTACAGAGCTCAATCTTAGCTTGTTTGAAAGCTCTTGACGAGCTTTTTAAATTAATGTACAACATGATATACTTCGGACAAAAAATCGAAGCACCCCCTCGCCGCCCGTTTTTAAAACAGGGAGGTGGAAGGGAGAATATACCCCCGATTTTTTCTTAACTTCGCACCCAATTAAAAGAGTATACAGAGAGCATCTGGTCAAAATTTTATGTTGGGACGGCCATGGGATTTTTTATTCCTTCAATTTTAGTGTATTTTCCGAAGGAAAAATAAGCGTTCTCCCTCATGGTGGCACCTAGACCTGGGAGCATGTAAAGAGCACCGATCTCGAGCCACACACATACACACACCCCCCCACACACACACACACATATATATATATATATATAATAAAGCGAACTTCATGAGTTGTATAACCGTAACTTTTTATTTATTTTAAACAAAAAATTTTTTACAATGCGACGTTTCGGTGGCTTATTATTCCCACCATCATCAGGCAGAGACTGAGGCGACAAAACAAGGAAAACCAAGAAATAAATACCTAGTCCTCTGATCCAACACGGTCAGGGAAGAGAAGAAAAGATAGTTACAATCTAACGAACATTACAAACATTGTTGCCTGAGTTACAGCTATTAATAAACTTTGATGGTCATCAATTAGAAAGCATCGGTACCTACCAAATAATCCTCAAAATGGGAAAATTCTGTCCTTGAATTCAGGGCATTGCTATTTTTAAGAATGCTTAACCCTTCTAAATTTAAACGGACCTGCTCATTTTTCTCTTGTTTTAGCACTCTGGTGTTATCATAATCAAATTGATGGTTTGTTTCTTTTACGTGCTGCTTAAGTGCCGTTTTTTCATGCTTATTAAACTTGTGTCCGTCAAGGCGCTTATGTACATACTGTGAAGTCTGCCCAATGTAGACCCCTGGGCACCCTTTGCATGGGATTTCATAAACCATGTCGGACATTTTCTCGTTTGGGATTTTGGTTTTTAGAGCTGATTTAAACCCTTTCAAATTACACTTATTTGTTGCTACTAGCGATAATCCAAATGGTCTTATTGCGGCACTTAATTTTTCAGAACATGAGGACAAATATGGTCCAACCACCGTCTCTTCTTTTCCCCTATTTTTGCGAGGGGGGAAACCGTTGTAGCAAGAATTTATTACCTCCGCAAAAATTGACTCGATAAGTGACCACGGGTAACAATTCTCAATCAACAATTGCTTTGCCTCTTTTATTTTGTCTTTTCTGAGCAAAGGATGTGTCAACAAACATACACGCGTTGCAAGATTTTTTACCACATTGATTTTTTGTGGCAGTGGTTGCACAGACAAAAAATTGAGATATCTACCAGAAAATATTGGTTTTTTAAACCATGACGTGATCAATTTCCCTCTGTTTTTTATGACAGTGACATCCAAGAAATTTAAAGAGTTGTTGACTTCACGCTCGAGTGTAAAATTTGATATTGCTCGAAAAATTATTGAAAAAATGGAAAACATTGTCAAGATCATCTTTGTGACAGCATGAGATAATATCGTCTGCAAAACGTTTATAGAATAGCAATTTATAAGGGAACACTTGAAATAATTTTTCCTCAAAGTATTCCATTACCAGGTTGGCAACATTGGCGCTTACTGGTGACCCCATTGCCAAGCCGTTTATCTGCTTGAAGCATTCTTCGCCGAAAGTGAATACTGTTGACTCTAAACATGCTTTAATGCCGGCTAAAAATTGATCCTCTGGCAACGTTGTATGGGGAGCAATTGTCATCCATTTTTCTTTAATAACATCAAGGGCTAGTTTTATCGGAATATTTGTGCACATAGACACAACGTCTAATGAAGCTAAAACAAAGTCATCAGGTACTGATTGGGTTTTGAGAAAATCTACGAATTCATAAGTATTCTTGACAGTGTTCCCACTTTTCTAAAAACCAATAAAAAACCAAAATTAAATTAATTTTGGATCGGAGGACTAAGTATTTATTTCTTGTTTTTCCTTGTTTTGTCGCCTCAGTCTCTGCCTGATGATGGTGGGAATAATAAGCCACCAAAACGTCGCATTGTAAAAAAAATTTTTTTTAAAATAAATTAAAATTTACGGTTATACAACTCATGAAGTTCGCTTTATTATTCATAAAATAACCATGAAATTTTATATATATATATATGGAGGGGGGTGTGTGTGAGTGTGTATTTCAGCCAGCGTGAGGATTTTTCAGTTTTCAGAGCGTTGAGCAGCAATTAATTTATTAGTTTCTTGAAACGAAATTTCTGGGGTTTATAGTCCCCTCAGCGTAATTTTAAACTGCTAAGAAAAAATCGGAATGCGTTAATTACTTTTTGCACAGCGAGGTGTCAAAGTGGAGGGAGGTTTAATTTTGTCCACGTGATAACTCGAGTAAAAATGAATATTTTGAAATTTTGACGGTAGTTGGAGATCTACTAAGACCGGTTTCCTATTGAATTTCAACAAAATCAGCCAACGCGTTCCATAATAGTGGCAATTTACCGTTTTTATGGGTGAGGGGGGGAGGAGTTGCGCTAAATCTCGAATAAAAATGATATTTTGAGCTGAAATTTAAATGGTAGTTAGAGGCCCCACCAAGTTTGGTTCCCTATATAATTTCAGCAAAATCGGCTCATGCGTTTTGTATTAGCGGTCATTTATATGTTTTACAGGCGGGAGGAGGGGGGTTGCGTGAAAATATTTCTCAACGTCCAATCAATTTTTCCCCAATATTAAATCCGCTCAGGTGAGAATATTAAAAAAATGAGGGAAAGGATAGGTCGGAATTTAGTATAAATCATAACTGGGATCTAGGGTCAAGTTTAATCAGCCAAGGGGAACGTTTTCTTCAAACATATCTGTGGCAAGAAAGGAAGGGTGAATGATTTCATTCCTCAATGCGACGCTACCCTTCGGAAAATACATTCATGCCGTGGTAAATGCGCGGACTACAAAAAGAACCGTCCCCTACTTGCCGGCAACCCCACAGGAAAGCTCTGCCGCTAGCGGCAGGGTTTTTCCATTATTTTATCACTGGATTTTTTGTGCATTTGAGCGGCCCAAAATGAATAATTCGGACTTAATGGTCTCCGTTGAAATAAAATTAGAATAATTCCAATTTACTTACATTAGTGAGGCCAAAGAATACGAAACTTCGGTTCCACCCGGTGGAGGAGGACAGAGGGGCAGCCTACAGGGGTGGGGGATGTTGCTCCTAAGCATAGTTAAGGTTTGCAGTTGGTCCTCTGTAAGTCTTAAGTCTTGCTCGGAGAGGGTGGGGGAAAATTACGACTTTAGAAATACAAATGAAAGCATGCAGGAAGGAGAGGTCCAAATGGGGAGTCGGAGCTTTTGGCTTGTGTATCCAATGCCTGGAAGCTCTAAATGTGCTGACACCTACAAATTTCAGATGGCTTGAATCATGTTGCAATTTCAGTGCATTTATTTATTCAGGTCAAAATTTTTTAATTATTTAAAATATTATACTTCTCAGATGAAGCAGGCTCTCAGTACAAAAACAGAAAAAAATTCATTAATCTTAGTAACCATGCAGAAGATTTTGGTATCTCTGCAGAGTGGCATTTTTTTACCAACTCTCACGGCAAAGGAGTATGTGATGGAGTCAGAGAGAGTGTGTAAAGATTGGCCAGCTGTGCAAGCCTTCAGCGTCCTTATTGTAATCAGATAATGACACCTTGGCAATTATTTGACTGGTGCCAGAGTGATTCAAGCA